TTTAAATTTCTGAGTGTTGCTTAAGGAAACGTGTAATCAAGGTCCAGCATTTGGCAGAAATTAGTTTATTTCATCTGGATATTCTGCATCTTTGACATTGTTATTTTAAGCGAGAACAGCGGAAACATTTATGACATCAATTTTTTTGCTTCTATGGCACACATATAAAATGTTACAATGTAGTAGACATGTATGTATACCTAAGCGGTCATGATGACATGCTTGGCTTATAAAAGCTAAACGGAAGACAAACATGTATGAAAAAAGTGCAAGTGGAACGTTTTGAGGGAGAAACTGTGAGGTAAACAGTGTTAAATACTGTAGAAACTCACATGGTGAAGTGAAAAGTGAAAATAAGTATAGTTCACCGTAATGCTGCTGTGTTATTTTCTTTTTCAAAATAGGCGACGTAGGACCACTATAATATACATATATGTTTACAACCTTTACAGTATGTGAATACGTGAAATTCTCGTTCAACACGGCTTTGACTGTCCCCGGTTCACAGGAGAACCGTTAACGTTAGCTAATCGATTGGGATGGGGAGAGGAAGATTTGGCGATGTCTGAAGGGAATTCGGTATCGGCTCAACTTTTGCAATCAACAATACCGTCGTTTTAACCACAGTAAATAGTCGTTATATACCTGCAGGTTATAGGCTGTAGTAGTGGTCATGGGTTGAATAATACGCCCCTCGATCCTGATACCGCCAGGTCACAGGGTCGGAAACATACTTTGTGAAACTACAAAAACCACAATCAAGCTCCGAACCTCTCTACAGGCAAGCATCGCACATCACTCAATCTAAAATCACACAACATCGAGAACACACTTTTAAAAGATACATACATATTACATTAGAAGTGTCTAAGAAACATAACCGTACGTAATGTCAGTTCTAAACTCTGTAGGCCGTCAGCCTAAAATTTTAACATTTTTCTTCAACAAAATAAATTGATGATCATAGGTTACCACAGATATAGGAGTGAAAGTTAGAGAAAGTTTTAGCGACTTGCAGATAAAACCCTCCTTCCGCTGAAATTTTCAGAACTGAATAACAAACCTTCACGTATCCGTATTTGCCAGGTGCGCAGTTTTTACCTATGAGCGAGAGGGGCATTTAATCTGATAGAAGAAAGAGAAACATTGACCTAAATTTACGATTTGTATGTTAAGCTAGTTTATGGAATCTTCAAATCATTTACATTTAGGAACAATCTTGACAACTTAAGACCACGCGAATTCTATTTTGCTTTCTAGCGATCCTGGTCTTAACGGCTTCTGTATTTATTTATGTTTTTGCTAACAATTCTCTTTGATTTGTGCTGTTGCCTTTTTACGTCCAAGACTTGGTTTAACATGCTGCCAACGATTTACAGTCCACTCCCCGAAGAGGGTTGCCCTGTAGTAGTGTGCCTCCTTGACAACTAAGATAAAATTTCTCCAAAAAAATATATGTTCCCTCTAAAAGTTTTGTCATTATCTTGTAAAACTTACAATCATCTGCTTTCTATGCGATTCCTCGATCAACGAGGAAATATTTTCTTGGAACTAAGAGTTCTCTCAACCACAAAAATATACGGCAATTGGTCCGTACGTACAAGTAGCGATCTGTGTGCTTCCAGGAAAAATTTCGTAAATTATATTGTCATTACACACAAAAACAAGCGACATTAGAGACGCAAGAAAAATTAAGCTGGAAACATTTTACATGTAGTACCATTGAAAATGTACTGTACAAAACTAACACAACTGTAAAATCTCTTCCTGTTCTTTTACTGACAACTTTGCTCGACACAAATAACACTAACTCATTCACACACACATTTATGTCCTCACACGATTAAGGTGACTTACGGCCTGCTCTTTGTGAAAGATTTCAACACCAAAAGCATGTCGGCTCAAAAACAAATGTGAGCACCAGTTTATCGCCATCTTTCGAATCAAAAAGGCAGCCTCTTCCGTCTGCCTGTTTAGAACTGGTTTTAATGCTTGCACATATCACGTGGGCCCGATAGTCCTCCATTACAAAGACAACGGAATGTGTGTCAGAATAAAAAATACACGGTGACGCGTGTTCCAATCCAAATTCGAAACAAATTCACTTATTGAATGCGGAAAGATATCTACACATTAGCAAGTTAACATTTTTACCTAGTACTACAGTTCCGGGTCTGCTGCATATGTCGTGGAACCCACATTTCCAATGTAGTACGTTACATGCATTTGTATGGTTATGCTCTATCACGATAAAATGAGAAATTTAACTTAACAACACGCACATCGTATAAAAAAGTTTTGTGGCACTTACATCTATGAGCTGAAAATTGAAAAGCACACAAACACATCACTGCAGGTGACGTTGAACAAACCGATCTTTGGACAAAACACGTCGCAAATTATCCTTTAAAGTAGCTCCCCTTAATAATAATAATAATAATAATAATAATAATAATAATAATAATAATAGTAAATAAACCTAAATCAGACGTATCGTAACATGACGAGCTTTGATCTACATGATGCGCCTCATTTGAAACTGAGTCGAGGTCTATTCGTTGATTCACATTGGGTTGGCTCCTCGGCCTGATTCGACTGGGTCTGGCTTGTCCCGATCGTCCCGCGATCAGCGCCACCTCCTCAGTTCTTCGCCGTCAGAATGGTTACGAACTCTGTAAACAAAACGCCCGAAACGGTACATGAGAATTCGTATTGGCGTAAGTTCCACAATGTTTCACTGTCGAGCAGTCATTTCACTTGGTTTCGGCAGATTGTGAGTGAGAGCGCACCTTCGTAGTTCACCATGCCGTCGCCGTCCAGGTCGGCCTCCCGGATCATGTCGTCCACCTCCTCGTCCGAAAGCTTCTCGCCGAGGCTGGTCATGACGTGACGCAACTCTGAGGAGGAGATGAGGCCGTCCTTGTTCTTGTCGAACACCCTGTAAGACGTTACGGCGCCGATCAGATGCCTTTCCCGGGCAGAAGGGCGAGAAGCACGGTGAAACAATATCTGACTTTTGAGGAAAAGAGCAACACTAATACTGAGGAAGTTTTACAGATTAAGAAAGCCTCAGATTTTGAGGATACCTCATCAAAAAAGGAAAAGAAGGAGGGAGACTTCCTCAAATCCTAAGGACCTTACTTCAAATTATGGTGACTCCTCAAAATTTTCTCTTTTTCCTCAAAGAATCAGAACTTTCGCCCCCGTAAGTGGTTTGAAAAGAACAAAAAGGAGTCACCTGAACGCCTCGCGCAGCTCCTCCTCGCCGTCGGCACCCTTCATCTTCTTGGACATCATCTGCAGAAACTCGTTGAACTCGATGGTGCCGTTGCCGTCCTGGTCCACCTCGTTCACCATGTCTCGTAGCTCGGTCTCGGTGGGCCGCTGTCCCAGGGAGCGCATGACGACGCCCAGCTCGGCCATCGTGATGGTGCCGTCCTCGTCCCGGTCGAACAGCATGAAGGCCTCCTTGAACTCGGCCACCTGGTCCTCAGTGAGCCCATACTCGGACTGCAACACGGGAAAA